TTCTCATAGCTCTCTGGTACACAGGGTGTTCTCCTGTTATGTACTGTCTGTAGACTGGATTTTGGTTTCAGAAAATCTATGCCTGAAGGCCCTCAGAACAGCTAAATCCACTAGTACTGTATTTTAGGTGGGGGATAACAGTATGCTGCACTGTTTACAACCATGGTAGTGGTAGCCAGAGTGACTCCCAATTAGTCTTCTGGATTTCTTCAACAGTCTTATGCTAGAAGGAGGAACAAAATTATTGGGATGTGACAGTGTCCAAGTTCAAGCCAGAACTTTCACATCCCATCCTCAGTAGTTGCTTCTCTTGTTACCCTTTGGATGTGCTTCTTTTGCTTGTCTCCTACAGCTTAAAAGGCATGCCATTTGACTGAGATATCTCGAATGTAACAACATCCGCTTCCCTGGAGTATGTAGTATCTGTGCACCGTGAGCTTGCGGCGAGCGCTTGTTCTCTTATTTCCAGCTCCGACTCATTCTCTTGCAGGCGAGTTGATCGGTCACGCAATTCCTTCCCTGCAAGTCCAAGCTCCGAACGAAATTGGGGACCTACCGATAAGCCCCCCGCGTTAAAAACTAGACTAGGACCCACCCCCGACGTCAGCCACGTCAGAGAAGGCCTCGAGAACGCTTCGACTTCGATACCCACCGGCATAACTGACCACTAGGACATGCGTTGACGCCTTGGCCGCAGCGTCACCCACCACGAGTGGACCGGTGCGTTTACCAGCGGTAGCGATGTATAATTATGGTCTGTTGCACCCATTCGCGCGGGAAGAGCTTCGTTGCCCTGGACGTTTGGTACGCCGTGCTTTCGTACGCACACGAGGGTGAGATTGCTGAAGTTGAACCCGGGCCCATCGACGTCCTTAAGTGTAATATGTTTCCCCAAAAGCGGAGCCTGATGTGCTCCCAGAGCGGGATACCATCGAATACTACGCACTTCGACCTCCGCGAATCGAAGGTACAGATTGTAGATTACAGGCTGTATCTGTAAACGGCTGAGGGTATAAAGGTCTGTGAGCGTCTTCGATATATTGATACTGGGTACGTCTAGAACCGTCAGCGAGAATGCACGCTATGGATATACACAAATATTAAGCCCGCGCGCGAACCATATCGCTTTTCTTACTCTGCCGGTTGTCGGAGTGCAGTCTGTACGAGCAGGCCGCCTGATAGCCCCTTCCACTGAGAACATTCATGCGCAACTCCAAAATTCACAGAACTCGTATGTGACCATGCCTTGAGGCCTTGTGGCTGACCGAAGTATGTCTGCCTCATAGCAGAGGTGTCACACACCACACATCTGATGTAAAGAATCTGTACCAATATATGAGGAAACAACGACATCAAGAGTATAAACAAAGTCTTCGTCTGGACTACGCCGAGGTACATAGACCAATGAATTTCATGCATGGAATATAGGCATCTTCAGGCTCTGGCGGATAGCTCCATTTCTCTACCCAGAAGCGCTTCCAAAATGCGCTCGACGAGCATCAACTAGTTTGCGTGGCCAGCGGAGCTCGACAGGCTGTGGGAGTTAACCAGCAACGGTAGTGTGCCCTATCCACATCGATAGCAGTGAGCCACACGACACAGAGACAGGCACCGCGAAGTGAACGATGGGCCAACTCTTGGTGTTGTCGATAGGCTGGCAAGTCGCCGATGCTGGCGTCGCATACCGCCTCCTTCGGTGGTCTGCCGATCGCCAGGGGTGATATCGGGCATAGACGTATGGTCCCTCCCTCACGGGTGACATTCACCGCTGGCTGAAGATGTCGAACATGACCTTGCTAGCCACGACGGGCATCGGGATCGCCAATGTGCTCTTGACAGGCGCGGAAGCCGCAGAACCGTTTGACGACCGCGCACTGCCCGCTGCACTGCTCGCACTCGTAGAAGAACGAGGACGGTGGATGAAGTCGACAGGCGCAGCTATCACGGGAGGCGGAATGGTCGGTGGGCCCATGATACGCGCCGGCCGCTTGCCCTTCGCACGAACATTCGATGATGAAGTGGTCACTGTTCCCTTCGTGGCATGCGGTGAACCATCCTTCCCTTCCACAGCTTTCCCCTTGTTCGCCACTCCCGCGATCCTCTTCTTCCGCGGAGCCCTAGTCTTCCTCTTCGCTGCAGGGACCGCATCTTGTCGACCATCGCTCGAGGCCGTCGCAGTCGCTCTACTCTTGCAACCTGTCGCCGCCGTCACGGAGGATACAGCCCTGGACTCTGGAACCGCTGCGGGTGTTGGAGCCACTGCAAACTTCGCAGGGCCACACACTCGCCCACCGCGAGCACCCTTCGGAACAGATTCTGCGAGAACCCTCTTGGTGAACTCGCCGAGCTCCCTCGTGGTCTTCAAGACCGTGGGGTGATCCTCGTCGATGGTCAGATCGATTACCTCGTGCGCAGGGCTCCAGTGCTTCGTCGCGAAGCCCTGCATGATGTGCAGCAGAGTTCTGGCCGTCGGCGATGCATAATCTGCAGCTGTGTCAGTGATAATCTGTCGAGGGAGGACACTCTCCTCACCATTGTCCGTGGCAGCTGCATCGGTGGCCTCAACTACTGCCTTTGACTTCCGAGCCTTCTTCGCTGGCCTGGCCGTTGTTTGCGAACTCTCAGCAGAGTCACTGTCGGACAGCGCGCGCTTCGTTCTCTTTCCAGTCGTAGGTGCAGAACCTCGAGTGGAGGTGATCGGCGAAACCGGGGCAGGGGCGGCGAGGAGAGGAAGTGAAGGAACGGTGCTCGGTAGAGGACCGGAGACCACTGTGGCCATAGGTAGGAGCGGATGAGCGGGTGGAGTCGGCGCATTATGACCAGGGTAGGGCACAGGTTCAGGAGCGGAGAAGAACATCGAAGGAGAGGAGATCAGTGTCGGCGACGCAGTGGCCACGAATTCGGCAGGGTCGAAATCGAAGGCAGGTGCAAAGTCGGGGAAGGGCACAAAATCGGGGACCTTCTCGGGTTCGGGACCCCAGAGGAGCTCTAACGTCTCGTCTGATAGAGTGGACTCAGACTTGTTGTGGCTCTGGCTATGCCACCATGGGTCGATATCCACCTCTGTGCCTCCCAGTGGCAGATTGAGAGGCTCTGCAGCATATCCGATGGTCCCAAACAGGTCCGAGGCAACGTTCTGGTATCGTGGAGAAACGTCAGCAGAGACGCAGAATAAAAGAGAGCGATGCTCTTACGTTCGAATTATCAACGGTTGGGTGAGAGTCGGAGAGTGGCCACATTCCGTGCATTGAAGCGGCATGAGGGTAAGGTGTCGAGAACATGATTGTGCTTGGTGCAAAGGATAACAAAGGTGGCAGCGGTGGTGATGGTGGTGGTAAAGGTCAAAGCGCAAAATGTCGAACTAAGTGGCGCGGATACCGTTTTAAACAAAGCATACTTATGCAACGTGACGCGGCCATGGATTGCTTTGTTTGGCCCACACAATCTGGAAAGTGGCATAATCAAAGTGTGCCACTCGGTCTGCTCGCCTGGGACCTTCGTCAATCCACTTCCGTTTGAAGATCGTCCAAGAGCGCATCAGACGTTCAGTCAAGTGTGTCAAAGCATAGTGCTGGATATGTTTTGGCTACAACGTCAGCGCGTTTCACGAAGACATAGCGTAGATATTTGACACTGACGGGATAAAGTGCATCACAACGACCTGTAATAACAAGATAGATTTCTCTCCTCCATCGGCGGCAACGCACGTAGCAGTTCGGATATTTCCTGTGTCTTGCGTACACCTTGCCTGCTATACGATACGTGCGATACCACGTAAGGTCGTGGATGGCGAATTTGTCACATCTAAATGTGCCTACCATGGTTAGCCCTTCACAGCATACAGTCTGACGATCGTATACTCACTATAAGGCAGGTTATTAGGGAAAACGGTTGAATCCGTCGGACACTAGGATAGTTTGCTACAGCAGTCTCAAGAGGACCTACACGCAAGCCGACGGATATAACAAGGACATATGTGCCCCGGCCCGTTTAAATGTCCGATGATTCCGATGCATCTGGGATAAATAGACAACGGCAGAGTATCAGGATTGTCCGGGATGATCAGATCTCCACGATGGTGGAGAAAGATAAATTGTCGACACAGCTTCACGGTACTGCGCGCGAAATGGATCCCTCAAGATCGCTCCTGTACACCTATCACAGAAGAAGCGTACGAGGACCTCACGTCAGCTGATATTCCCGGGATCGCGGACGCTAACCTACGATTCGCTCGGTACTGTATTCAGTCCGTTGTTCGCGAAAACGAGTGCGAACCTCGTGCATCGTCTGTGGGTAGCCATTCGAGACATAACACTGTTAATTTCTCTCTACATACTTATGCCGCTGGTGCTCACCGGTAAGTCCTATCACGCAACCGGCCTTGTCTGTCCGAAAAATCCTTCAGAGGGCTGCAAGAGAGATCGTCACACGAAACTGCGCTCCGAGTCTTCAAGCCGAGGGGGAAAGAAAACTGACAAGTCTCCACGGCAGATGTATCATACGTCAGAGCAATAGCACGAGGGCGGCGCCGCTATTCAAGCTTCAAGGGGTGTTCAATCCGAATTGCTGCAGCCTGAGTGAGCTGGCGACCGTTCATGCGTTCATGATCATCATGATCCTTCTGGCTTTCCTCTTCTGAACAAGGAGGGCCCGGACTTCCATAGATCATGTGATGGACGCGTCGCGGTCCAAGCCCCCAATAACACAGTGCGCCGTACCAGTAGGACGATCGGCAGCAAAATCTCTGCTATTCAGGTGGCGGAGTTCGCATGTGCTCCGAGTGAATTAAATAGACAGGCGGCCCGAGACTTAATGAACGAAACACGGCCCACAACAATTACATCGACAGCGACAACTTATAAAAACGACATATTCTTGACCGGATATCCTGATGGGCACAGCTGGCTGGACCGGCCATCCGATACGCACCGTGACATCATCGAGAATCGTACCTCGGTAAGTTGAGTCGAGTCGAGGATGCAGGTGCGACAGGAGAAAAATCATCGCGATTCGATATTAGTGCTGTAGATTTGCACCTGGATATTCTCCGTTCCGGTTGCTGCGCGACCTGAGGTATGTGGGCCACGAAATCTGCTGCGTTCATGTAGACGGGGATATCCATGTGGACAGCAGCCATGCAGATCGGATTCATCCGTCGCAGAGCACCATCGGTTAGATCCGGAAAGTGGACTATTTCTGTCGATGCACACTTTGAAAGCACGGTAGAGGGCATCGTGAAAGGCAGTAACGCTCGAGAACGGACCACGATCGTCGGACTTCAAGTTCTCAAATACGGTGTCAAAAGCAGGAGTACGGCCGAGGCCTCCAATGTACGTCTCAGTCAGTGATTTGAGACGAGAGTAGTGGTCCCGGAGCTGCTCGACCAAAATGGACTTTGCAGCGGGAGTCATCTCGGGCCAAACTTCATCCAAGGAACGACCAGGCATGAAATCCATGAAGAAGAAAACCTGGGAGTCGTATTTATACGTGCCACGTATCTTCGTTCCGAAAGCACGTTCACTGAGCAAATCATGGAAATAAGGTAAAGCGACGAACCTGAGGGACAGGAATAGACGTGTGTGCTGAAACGTAGCGGATTGCGGCGACCTCGCGGGGGAAAACACGTCGCCCGTACTTGACTACCAGCAGTTCTGTGACTTTCGCCACGACGGATCCGTCTTTCTTTGAAAGCACAGGAGCACTGAACACTTCTTCTGGAGCGGGAAGATGGATGTGTTCGTTGGGTGACCACTGGCAGGGTTCCGTAACGATGTCTGCCTTAGACGACAGAGGGTCGTCGCGCAACGGAGTCATGGAACGTTCGACGATAGCGCGTGTTTGAAAGTCTAAAAAATTAGTAAACGTCGTAGACTGCGGTCTTGATAATCACGGTTCACTGAACTCACAAGCAACAGTGTCATGAACGGACCTCGCAGGCGCGTCCCTCAAACAACATAAGGCAAGGTATTCGAGAAGAGGCAGCTCTGAAAGTTTGTCATACTTTTCTCGTATTGCCTGGGCTTCGTTTTCACAAGGAGTTGATAGCGCTGCATCGGAGGGGTGGCTTACGAGAGTGTCGTAGATACGAAGAAATGAATTAAACTAGAACACCCTCGGTGTCAACAGCATGGCGATCTATATAAGGTTGGGCTCAGCCACATCCCTCCAATGTCACGTGCATTGCACTTGTCTTGTAAAACTAACTACATTGCAAGAACTCAACGGAAGGCCATTCTTCAAACGATAAAAATTAGCGGCTAAGAACTCCGAATTTTTATCATTTGTTGTTCTCTCAAAGAGCTCTGCACTGTGAAGTTTTTTAATTTTCAATGTAAGGCTCCTGCACGTGACATGTCACGGCGGATGGTTATGGCTGAGCCCAACGTTCTCAGGGTGCTCCTGCCACGTCCACGCACCGACGCCTGTGTGTCCGCTTCATGCAAACTTGGCACACCAGTGGCATTCGGCTGGCCGGCCGTATTTGGGGAGAATATAAGCGGCGCACTCACCCGCACACACAGCGTACCTTCTCTCCTCCTCAACTATCCCTTCCACCACATCTTGCTCACCTTCTCCCTTCTTCCTAAACACCATTCCATTTTTCACTGTATTTACATCCTTTCGTTGTGGCTGACGAGGTGCCTCTTACGTACCTGAGCTAGTCATATAGCGTAGTCAGCCGTTTCCTCGTTTCAACGTTGGCGTAGTCAGCTAATTTCATCCGTTTCACCGTTTCATCGGTTTTAATAGATTTATTTTACAAGTCTAATTGACCCTGCGCTGCGCCCAACAATGGCCAACTGGCACAGTCCCCGGGCTGTGCCTGCTTCCGCCGCCGGAAACAGCGACACCTGCCTCTCGTGCGGCAGCGTAGCACCACCGACTCCCTTGGTGAGCGGCCGGACGGAAAGGGGCTCCAGCCGTCCTTTCACTCCGACCATCATCTGGCTGCTCACCAGGTACGTCGCGAAGCCCGATGCATGTCGCCGTTTCATGACGGATTCTGGCGTGCAATAGGCACATCCCTATATCTTGCGTCACTCAGGAAACTCTGAGCCTAGAAGATTAGACCTTACATCGATACACCAGATCAGCACACAGCAATCTACTTGTGCGGTACTATGTCCACAAGTGCACAGACGGCAATGCTTGTACCCTTGGATGTCCAAGCTGTTGAGACCGAGAGCCTTCTTTTTGATTCATTTCTTCGTGTCTATGACAGCCTCCTAAACGGCTCCGATCAGACCCTCTCCACACTCTCTGAAAAGGAGGTTGAAGCAATACGAGAACTCTATGGCAAACTTTCAAAGCTTCCCCTGCGCGACTCCCTAGCTGCTCTGTGGTGTTTAAGGGATGCGAGATTGGTTCACGATTCTCTTTCCTGTGAGCTGAGAGATCTCTCGAGGTTAAGTCATGGCCCGTAATGTTCACTCATTCTATAGACTCTCGAACACGCGCCATAGTCGAACGTTTCACTACTGCATCGCGCGATAGCCCAGCGCTGTCTCTGCCAGACGTCTATACGCAACCTCGCGAGTGGTCGCCTGACGTACACACCAATCTCCCTTCTCCAGAGGAAGTGTTCAACGCTCCTGTGCTTTCAGAACAAGGCGGATCCATCGTGGCAAAAGTCACAGAAACGCTGGTGGTGAAATATGGGCAAAGCATTTCCCTTCGAGAGGTCGCAGCAATCCTCTACGTTTCAGCCTACACTTCCGTTCCTGTCCCTCAGGTTCGTCGCCATATCCTCTTTCCATGATTCACTCAGCGAGCCTGCTTCGGAATGAAGATACATGGCATTTATGAGTACAAGTCTGAGCTCTTTTTATTCATGGACTTCATACCCGGTCGTACCCTGGAGGATGCCTGGCCAGATATGACGGCAGCCTCGAAGGACGCTCTGACCGAACAACTTAGGGTCCACATGAATTCTCTTCGATTGTTGCGCGGAACGTACATTGGTGGCCTTGGCTGTACTCCCTGTTTCGACCACATATTTGCCGACGAACCGCCTTCAGATTATGGACCATTCCCGAACGTCGCTGCCTTCCATGACACTCTCGGCAAAGTCATAAACTGCTATGGAGATCTGAAAGGCTTTCCTACATCACGGTCAAAACGTAGGCTTTTCAAGGACGATTACCGCATCGTATTCTCTCACGGAGACATTGCCCCCCGCAATATCATGGTCTCAGAAGAGGGGAAGCTGGCGGCGATCCTCGACTGGGAAACGGCTGGATTCTGGCCTGAGTATTGGGAGTGGATGAAGGCTAGTATTGATATTGGGTTGGAACCAGATGGCTGGGGAGATGCGCTCAATCTTATCCTGGAGCCGTTTGATGCGGATGCATTGATTGAAAACATGTTCTCGAGAGTACTTCTGTTATAGATCACAAGTACGTTGAGAAGTCCCTTATCAGTTTTCTATATCATCGGTTCTGGCAGTTCTTTGTGCCCATAGACATTTCCGAATCTAGTCTCCGTGGCGCATACTTTGCGACCTCCCTCGAGTCCTTCGCTGACGCGTACGTCGTTCTCTCTAGTAGCCATATCGCCATAATTGCGCAGTTCGAAATCCGCCAACCAATGCGCAATGCACTCTTTCAAGTGACCGACATGCGGGTTAGAGTAGCAGCCGCAATACCGTCAGATTGCAGATGCCTCGAGAACTGAAGCAAACTGTCGACCAGTCTCGTCAAACGTACACTATTTAACAAATTTCGCAGCACTTACTCTCAGGAATATACATGACTATTACTGCTGTTCTCCGTTTGGGCGGTGCTTGGCGCTCTCACCTGATGCGCTGAAGAGTGCATTAAAGAGTTCCCGTAAGGCCTGCCTGATTTTCCAGTGCTTTTCGCGAGGGGCAGAGGAGTGAATAGCAACTAGAAAATGCATTAAGATAAGTATGACCTCGATCTGACAATGCATAAATGCGAAACTTGGTCTGCCTCCTTGCAGGCTATAGTAATTGCGACATCTAAAAATCAAAATGAGTGACATGGCGCGAGGTAATTTTCATGGATTAAGTGCCAGTAAGCGTAAGGCTACTATCGACCATAATATGCTCGAGCTCATCAAAGAAGATGGCACCAGTGCGATCTGTCACAAACTAAAGCTTGTCTCCGGCGTCGAAAATCTGGACGTTTATGACATCCTGCTAACGAGGGATGTGTCCAAGAGAGAAACGGCTGTACTTGTCCAGTGGTTCAACCAATCGCAAAATTCTGCGGATTGTAAGCTATTCCTATACACAACAAATTCGGCTTACCGCTGGTGTCATCTCCGAGGCCTGGATTATTGAATATTGATGCTACAGCTCGATACGTTTGCAAATATTGACGTTGAGCACCTCGGCGCGGGTACGGCGTGCAGTCAGGGCGTACCATAGAGGACGCTCAATAGTGTGCGTTGGCTCGATAGCACGAGCCAAAATGAGTCTTTTGACAGCTACAAGCAAGCTCTTAAACATCACGAACTCACGAGATACGGTATAAATACACCGTTTTATCCCCAACTCAGGCCCACCGATCTCAGACCTGATGTTCCTCACCGAATTCTCAATCGTTATTACCTCGATCCAATACTAGTAGAACGCAGATTCAACGGAGTACGCAATGGACAACCGAGCGACGAACAAGAGCGCCAGCACGGACATCGGAGAGCGTGATAATAGGTGCTTTTTTTGTGGAGAAGAGGGTGGTAGGAGGATTTAAGACTGTCGTCGACGGATCCGTATTTCGAGTTCGAGTAGCTCGTGGTTCGCCTGGGCCCTAAGCAAGTCGGTCACATGCCGGTGGTGTTCTGTGACACCTCGCGTGGGTGACGTGATGAGTAGATAGCAGGCTGAGTCCACTGCCTCGAGGATCCAACGTCCATCATCTCAGCCCGCGAAACGTCGCTCTCTCTTTGTGGCGTACTCATATCTCGGCGATAATTCCCAGTTTTTGCCGCGATGGCTTTCTTTTTGACTACTCCATCCGACGCCGTGAGCCTCACTTTATATCTACGGTGTACCCGCTTCTCAACCTTGCTTCGGTTGAATTGGTTCCATTCTGCTCTAGCTCGTCCGCGCCTGATTCCCTACGCGTCTCAGCTTCACTCCTTTTCGAGGAAGAGATGCTTTCCCACTTCTTTTTCTATCCACACGTCCTGGCTTCGTAGATCAGTGTGCATGGTCTGCACCCGAACTCGTACAGTGTCTACCCGTCCGCACATTCCAGGAGAGTTTTCATCGTATCAGCTGAGAAGATCCTGGAGAGATAGAGAGGAGTTTTCTGTCCGGAAAGTGTCGCTCTCGTTCAACGACATATCCTCATGACGGTCCATCGATGTGTATAGACAGAGCATTTATTGAGTCAGTCCTCAGTCCTCTGTACACAACATTCAGCTTACTCCGTCCATTGACCCCGTACGAATCAGACCCTCCACCAACACAGGAATATCTCCAACAAGATGCACGAAATGCGAGAGACATAACCTCATCTCCGCAGATGCCTTCGAGGAGTACGCTCGGGATCTTCACTGCACGCTTGACGGGTCAGGTCTCTAGCGCGGAGGCTCGAGGGAGGAAGCACGCGGTGGATCTGCGCCCCGGAATGTGTAAATATTAAGTGTAAAATGGCGCGGAAGGAACGTCGGAAAAAATTGAGAGATAAGTAGCGCGCTCGATGCGAGGGCGAGAACGGGATTTCTAGCCATTGTGGAGAGCTCGAGAAGTGTATACCGCACGGTCATCCGGCTGAGCGGGCAAGCGGTGTTGGGGCATCAGTGCCTCCTGTTCTGCTGTGGCGGAAGTGGGGCACGACGAAGGCACGGCCGTAAATGTACGTGAGTCCCGCGTGAAGAAGGTCAAAGACGTGCGTGTTCTATCCTTCGCATTCTGCCTCCCCTCTTTCATCTGTTCTTCCGCTCTCGCTGATCAATAATTGATGGCCGGACTTACAATCCACCATCCATAGCTATTTGGCATGAGCAAGTCCGCGGCAATAAATCTACCATGAGCCATGGTTATCTGGCTAGTTCCGTCTCGCGACGTGCGAGGCTGTACATTACTGTGCAAAGTCGAGGGTTAGGATCGATTTCTTTTCCAACCCCTATTCGGATGTGCATGTCTGTATGGGCAGGGGGTTAAAGTACGCCAAATGACGGCAAATAGGAGCACGCACGACGAAGGAGACCAAAAGAAAGGTGGACAGCGTGATCAACAGGGCTGTGAACTGATGTCGATGGTTACAAGCCTGTGACTGTTTGAGTGGATCTCAAAGATTAAAGAAACAGAGACTGACGTCGTTGAGCAGGTCCCTCAGGGATCCAAAGGCGGATCACGGATAGCTGCTAATTCTTCGGGTGATTCAACGATTGAACTCGTATCCCTCTCTATTGCCGTCTCCAGGCTAGTCATCTCCTCGCGGGCTAACCAGAGAGCTATAACCATCTGCAGCCTCGCCACAGTCATCTTCATTGGGTCCAATTGGGCCTCTCTCTGTCATGGTAGGAGTCGACTCGAGTGACCTGCGATTTCTCTACGCCCTTACTCAGATCGCGGGCCTCTTATTTACATAAAGTGTCAGCATTTCAGATCAAACCGATCAAGTTGCGAGGAATTACCTGGAGACGGTGCGGACGGACCTGAAGATGGAGAAGGGGTACTGTAAACCGAATAATGAGCGCTGTCGAGGGACCGCCACAGATAGACAGGTGACATACGACATCTGACAGTAATGGTGAGGAAGATGCGAGGGTAGGGCGGGGAGAGGCATGGCATCTATGACTCCCAGCTGAACTGGCGAAAGACCTGCCTTTTATCAACATAGAATAGGTATGCACTACATATGGATTTTCGACTTAGGAAAGAAGAGCCGCGGAATTTGGCTGCAGATCAGTGGCGCGCGTACCACCAGATCATCGATCGGTGTGCATTTGTGTCCGCAACCCCGGTTAATCTCGATATGTTTGCGGATGTATATTTGCGTCGGAGCCAAACCATCGTCTGTCTGACACACAGCTCTCTCTGAGTCCTGGATTATTGAGTAACAGTGCAGCGCACCATATCCTGCCACATAATGGTGGAGATGCCCGTCCCAATTTCCCGCATCGAGAAGCGGTCGACACAGAAGCGGGGAAGCGGGGTTCCATATTCGACGCATCCGCACGTCCATTTTTATCACCGCGACGATATAGGGGCCATGTACGTGCCGCCACTGACTCCGTGCGCTCTCTTTGGTAGGTTTGCCTAGTGGAGCGTGCGCCATGGAAAAATTCCACGACATCGCATCTTGAATTCGATTCCGTCCTCAGTTCGACCCGGTCCGAAAAACCAAACTCGCTCGCGATCACGCGATCGCACGAACAGCAAACCCCGATGGTGAGCGCACAGCCGCGTACCCCTGTACACGCAGCTCTACACTGAGAACAGCGAGGCCACCACCAGATCTTGCAGGCGATCCCGCAGCGGACGCCTCACCCCACTTCTCCGAAATCTCTAAGGGAAGGCGCGGATAGCAATGTGCGATCCGAGCAGATGCTGCCGCTAGTACCTTGCGTGCAGAGTGGAGGGAGCCGAGCCCAGGACGTAATACAACACGCGTGGCTGAGCGGGGTAACAAAGCCACAGCACACATCTCGGTATCAGGCCGCAAAACTTGAAGTCGCTCGTCAGCGCTGGGCATCGGTGCAGAGGAGAGCGCGAGCGCGAGCCGAGCCCCACAGGACGTCTCCCGTGCACGCCCGTCCGCATGCACACACCTCTCTGGGCGCACGGGCAGTGGCTTTGCGGATGTGGACCGCGGAGCGGGGTGTCGGGTGCGGCGGGCTGTCACGGGATCCCACACGAGCGGCGGAGGTTCGTCAGGTGGCGAGGGTTTAGTGCCGAATGTGTATTCCCCGCGGGAGAGAGAAGGGGGGGAACACCGTGGGGATCTTCGGTGTGTGGGTGGGCGGAGAGCACAGACCGCCACGCGGGTGTGCCCGGACGACGTGCAGTTGCTGGCACGCGCGACGGTGAGAGGCATGCGCAGGGCGGTCTCTGGCCCGACTGGCACGCGCGGGGCTGGGAGCACGGCGCAGTCGACGGGCTTGCGATGTAGAAACCCTAGATGCAGTAAGTAAGCGCGAACAACAAAGTGTCGAGTGCCCGTAGACGTAGTGAACTGCAACTCTGAACGCTTGCGCCAGTGGCAAAGAAGGCGTAGTGATGAACTGTTTGCATCTATTTATTGAGTGTGGCGGACACTCTGGCGCTGCAGTGACCGCCTTCGACATCGACCTGTGAGGTCCAAATATGTGGTTTTCGACCTTGCGTTTACGAAGCTGCTGGTTTACCACTCGCAGCCAGTAACGTTGCGGCGCACCTTGCTTGTTGCACGGTTCAGCCTCAATTCTTGCACCGTCACGGTCTCACCTCGAGTTGCAATCAACAAGCAGATTGAGCAGTGTGCGTGATGCCATACTATCTCTCTTGATCCTGCTGAGACATTCTTTATCAAGGGCACGCTATTCGATAGTGACACCCTTCAACTCGAACTTGGATTTCCTGTGCTGGCGGTGTTGCACTACGGGCAATTCACACTGTGTCATCCACGCTTGCTTATCGCACGCACCAACGACTTACGAGTGAGGTTCCATCGCTTCTGCTAAATGCATTATGCACGCATCTCACTCCGCATACTGTTCCAGCTCATTCGAATTGCACATCTTCGCTGACGCACATGATGTCTCTGACATACAATCCCATGGCCGGTGATAATCTGAAGATTGAAGTAATGTGTTTCATTTATATTGTAAGAAGGGAGCATTTATCGATATTCGACTCCAACAGCCCGCTCAACTCGAAAGGCTTGGGCCTGGTGATAGCAATGCTTCTGAAAACGTGGGAGTGGCCGCAAAGGACTTGAACGCTAAACTGGAAGAGAAGGATGCCCTGCTCATGGAGTTTCGCACCATCACGAAGCTTCTTTCAGTCATCGGGCCCTCATGTCCTGAGGTATTGAACAAGTTGGGGAGCCCTGAAATAGTGGGTGCCCTCGATCCTGCTAAGCGGCCTGGTGGCGTGAGGGGCTCCTTCCGCCGGATGACAAAAGCAGATGATGACTCCGATTTGCGGCGATTGGATGCATTTGCAAGCTTACTTGTGCGAGAGCATGAGAATGTTGCAATCACCTTCAAAAGGGATACTTATCCTGTTGTGGTGGTGTCGCAAGATCAGATGGCCTCACCGCCCACCACCGTCACTATCGGGCATGGCAGGACAATGCAAGTCATGGCGCCGACCGCTGATGCCGATGCACAGACAGGCAAAGAAAAAAGGGTGGCAATGCCTAGCTCTCTCCTACATGGAGCTTGGCTCATCCACTTGTCACAAGAGAAGACTGAGCAACTTTTCAAAGAGGTCAAGGAGAACCCAGTGAAGGCTGTAGTGGACAATGCGTAAGCATTCAACGTCTTGAATCACAATAGTTTTGCTGACTCACTTTCATCCAGCCTTACCCAGCTATTCGAGGAGCACGCATCAATCATAACGAGCTTCTTTAGTGACTACGCAAAGGCTCGGGATGAGAAGGAGAAGTCCAAATCCTACCAAATGTGGACAATGTACATCTATGTGAGGTCCGCGATGAAAATGTATCGCAGGATGTTTTTCACCCTGTCCTGCCCATTCTGGAAGGCTCTCGAGAACCCAGCTGTTGAACATTTTGTGGAGAAGGAGCTGGACTCATTTACGTTCCCGACCAGCAAACCAAAGAGAGGGACTGATGATGACCTCGCAGTCTATTTGAAGGCTATTCTGGAGCTGGGAGAATGTCCCTCAGAGTCGAAGTTGCTGGCTGTGTGTACCGGTAACACTGCAAAGGGTGCTACCGAGACAAAGGCACTTTATACCAGGGAAACCTGTCTTGAGTTTCATATGGTACTATGCCATTGTGTCCTCGTTTACAGAGATGCCGTGGTGCAGTCCCGAGATACCTGGTGGCGGGTGTTGGCATGGAAGGACACCTGTCGAAATGCAGGCTCACAAGATTGTTGTGCATTGACGGAGTGGGACCTTCAGGGGCTCAGTGAGAGAGGGGTGCCAGTGATAACAAACAAAGCACAGGCTCTTCAGAATATGGAGGATGCTGCACTTGTCCTGATGGTGGCTGCTAATACCATCCACGCTTTTGCCTACTCCTCAGCACTCCCGCTCCATCTTAGCAACATTGCCGAAGGGCTGATGAAACCATTCGAAGAAGAACGGAATGCATGTCAGAGCCGAGCTCACTCATCCTATAATGCCGAGATGAAAGCATCTAGGGAAGCTGATGCCAAAGCGCGTGTGGAGGAGAAAGCCAAAAAACCTCCTCTCTTCGACGAGTCGAGCGATGAAGAATCGTATCACGAGTTATCTACGGGCAACTGGCTCGATGGTTCAGTAGTGTCAGACGGCCATACAGAGGCAAAGGTCCCAGTACCTGAGCTCAGTTCCGATGGAAAGGATGGTCTTCCCGGTGTGGGCAATGTTGTCAGAGACAAGGGCAAAGCATGCGTCGAGGGTGGTACTTTCCCCCCAGTGGCCATATACAAGGAAGACGAGGCACAGCACAATGTCAAGGCTGATCGCATGACCATGGCTAGCGAGAGTGATGCTCTCAATGAAGGCAATGACGAATGTGAATCGGATTTGGGAGCCGTGATGTCTAGCATAACACCATTGGTTGACCGCGTTGATCTGAAGATGGCCTTTGAGAGATGGTTTCGCTTGCAAGCCTCCTTCCCCGAATCCATCCGAATACTACAAGGGTTTGCATCCAAGTCCCCGTGGAAGGGCACTGGAAAACCGTACGAAGTTCACGTGGTAACTGCGGAGCATCAAGGTCAAGGAATGTTGTCGATAGACGATCTCATCAACAAGCTGTATAAAGATAGTCCGCGAAAGCAAGATGTTAGCCGTTACTTCCAGAGGCATCCATCAATCGGGAGCAAAGTTGGGACGACATTCTTAGGGACCTTGCATGCAGAGGCTTTTATGGCAGCCATTGTGAAGAGTGACCCTGATTACGCTGTAAGTTGACATATTCCTTGAGGGAGGCATGGGACTAATGCAGTTCATAGGTGTATGGCCAAGACAAGCTGGGTGTATCCAAACGATGCTGCCCTGTCTGTACTGCTGTGCTGGTTCACATCAGAGCTGAAACCAAGGCCCCGAAATTCAAGATAAGAGGGACTCATGCGACAGTCTCTGCTTGCGCTCTCCCACCTTGGCTGCCCCTGCCGATTGTCCAGAAAATTGTCGACCTTTTCCGAACCGAGCTTATGGAGAAGATCAATGCCAAGGTGGATTCTGAGTGCTACTCATGGATGAATTCTCCAACCTCGGTGGACTCGCACAATCTTCAGCGAATATCACAGGACAGTGCTGCCGAGCAGAGAGTGATCACAAGGAGCTTCATAGAAAGTCTTTTTAAACGCGATGGGGTCCGCGGCGGCTTCACACCTAAAGAGTAGCACTATAATCATCTGAAATGTATTCTTGTCTTGTTCCGGCTGATATTACTATGTTGTATATTTGGAACAAGCATGCATTCTGGATTTTATACGAAATTTTCTTATGCATCGTGATTTGACATTTGGGTTCCGCAGGCATGGTCTGTTTACGATATGATATCCGACTACGCCGAGGTACATAGACCAAAGAATTTCATGCATGCCATCTAGGCATCTTCAAGCTCTGGCGGATAGCTCCATTTCTCTACCCAGAAGCGCTTCCAAAATGCGCTCGACGAGCATCAACTAGTTTGCGTGGCCAGCGGAGCTCGACAGGCTGGAGTCCGATGTAACCAGCAACGGTAGTGTGCCCTATCCACATCGATAACAGTGAGCCACACGACACCAGAGACTAGCATCGCGAAGCGAACGATGGGCCAACTCTTGGTGTTGTCGATAGGCTGGCAAGTCGCCGACGTTGGCGTCGCATACCGCCTCCTTCGGTGGTCCGCCGATCGCCAGGGGTGATATCGGGCATAGACGTATGGTCCCTCCCTCACGGGTGTGACATTCACCACTGGCTGAAGATGTCGAACATGACCTTGCTAGCCACGACGGGCATCGGGATCGCCGATGTGCTCTTGACAGGCGCGGAGGCTGTAGAACCGTTTGACGACCGGGTACTGCCTGCTGCACTGCTCGCACTCGTAGAAGAACGAGGACGGTGGATGAAGTCGACAGGCGCAGCTATCACGGGAGGCGGAATGGTCGGTGGGCCCATGATACGCGCCGGCCGCTTGCCCTTCACACGAACATTCGATGATGAAGTGGTCGCTGTTCCCTTCGTGGCATGCGGTGAACCATCCTTCCCTTCCACAGCTTTCCCCTTGCTCGCCACTCCCGCGATCCTGTTCTTCCGCGGAGCCCTAGTCTTCCTCTTCGCTGCAGGAACCGCATCTTGTCGACCATCGCTCGAGGCCGTCGCAGTCGCTCTACTCTTGCAACCTGTCGCCACTGTCACGGCGGATACAGCCCTGGACTCTAGAACCGGTGCGGGTGTTGGAGCCACTGCAAACTTCGCAGGGCCACACACTCGCCCACCGCGGGCGCCCTTCGGAACGGACTCTGCGAGAACCCTCTTGGTGAACTCGCCGAGCTCCCTCGTGGTCTCCTTCAAGATCGTCGGGTGATCCTCGTCGATGGTCAGATCGATCACCTCACGCGGAGTGTTCCAGTGCTTCGTCGCGAACCCCTGCATGATGTGCAGCAGAGTTCTGGCCGTCGGCGATGCATAATCTGCAGCTGTGTCAGTGATAATCTGTCGAGGGAGGACACTCTCCTCACCATTGTCCGTGGCAGCTGCATCGGTGGCCTCAACTGCTGCCTTTGACTTCCGAGCCTTCTTCGCCGGCCTGGCCGTTGTTTGCGAACTCTCAGCAGAGTCACTGTCGGACAGCGCGCGCTTCGTTCTCTTTCCAGTCGTAAGTGCAGAACCTGGAGTGGACGTGATCGGAGAAACCGGGGCAGAGGCGGCGAGGAGAGGAAGTGAAGGAACGGTGCTCGGTAGAGGACCGGAGACCACTGTGGCCATAGGTAGGAGTGGATGAGCGGGTGGAGTCGGTGCATTATGGACAGGGTAGGGCACAGGTTCAGGAGCGGAGAAGAACATCGAAGGAGAGGAGATCAGTGGCGACGCAGTGGCCACGAATTCGGCAGGGTCGAAATCGAAGGCAGGTGCAAAGTCGGGGAAGGGCACAAAATCGGGGACCTTCTCGGGTTCGGGACCAAAGAGGAGCTCTAACGACTCGTCTGACAGAGTGGCCTCAGACTTGTTGTGGCCCTGGCTATGCCACCATGGGTCGATATCCCACTCTGTGCCTCCCAGTGGCAGATTGAGAGGCTCTGCGGCATATCCGATGGTCCCAAACGGATTCGAGGCAACGTTCTGGTATCGTGGAGAAACGTCAGCAGAGACGCAGAATAAAAGAGAGCGATGCTCTTACGTTCGAATTGCCAACGGTTGGGTGAGAGTCGGCGAGTGGCCACATTCCGTGCATTGAAGCGGCATGAGGGTAAGGTGTCGAGAACATGATCGTGCTTGGTGCAAAGGATAACAAAGGTGGCAACGGTGGTGATGGTGGTGGTAAAGGTCAAAGCGCAAAATGTCGAACTAAGTGGCGCGGAAACCGTTTTAAACAAAGCACACTTATGCAACGTGACGCGGCCATGGATTGCTTTGTTTGACGCACACGATCAAACTGTGCCACTCGGTCTGCTTGCCTGGGACCTTTGTCAATCCACTTCCGCTTGAAGATCGCCCAAGAGCGCATCAGACGTTCAGTCAAGTGTGTCAAAGCATAGTGCTGAATATATATTTGGCTACAACGTCAGCGCGTTTCATGAAGAGATATTTGACACTGACGGGATACACCACAACGACTTGTAATCACAAAACAGATTTCCATCGGCAGCAATGCACGTAGCAGTTCGGATATTTGCAGTGTCTTGCGTACACCTTGCCTGTCATACAATACGTGCGATACCACGTAAGGTCGTGGACGGCGAATTTGTTACATCTGAATGTACCTACCATGGTTAGCCCTTCACAGCATACAGTCTGACGATCGTATACTCACTCTGAAGCAGGTCATTAGCGAACACAGTTGAATCCGTCGGACACTAGGATAGTTTGCTACAGCAGTCTCAAGAGGACCTACACGCAAGCCGACGGATATAACAAGGACATATGTGCCCCGGCCCGTTTAAATGTCCGATAATTCCGATGCATCTGGGATAAATGGACAACGGCAGAGTATCAGGATTGTCCGGGATGATCAGATCTCCACGATGGTGGAGAAAGATGGATTGTCGACGCAGCTTCACGGTACTGCGTGCGAAACGGATCCCTGAAGATCGCTCCTGTATATCACAGAAGAAGCGTACGAGGACCTCGCATCAGCTGACTTTCCTGAGGACGCTAACCTATGATTCGCTCGGTACTGTAGTCAGTCCGTTCTTCACGAAAACGAGTACGAACCTCGTGCATCGTCTGTGGGTAGCCATTCGAGACATAACACTGTGAAATTATCTCTACATACTTATGCCGCTGGTGCTCACCGGTAAGTCCTATCACGCAACCGGCCTTGTCTGTTCGAAAAATCCTTCGGAGAGCTGCAAGAGAGACCGTCACACGAAACTGCGCTCCGAGTCTTCAAGCTGCTAGAAGAAACTGACCAGTCTCTGCAACGGACACATCATACTTCAGAATAACAGCGAAAGGTGCTGTTGAATGCATGTTCAAACCGAATTGGTGCAGCCTGAGTGAGCTGGCGATCGTTCGCGCGATGATCCTTCTGGCTTTCCTCTTCTGAATAAGGAGGGCTTCTGTAGATCATGTGATGCCGACGCGTCGCGTCGCCGCCGAGTCGCGCACAGAAAATTAATCGAACGCACAGTGCTGCCGAAGAAAAACACATCTACGAGGGGCAGCGAGCTTCGAGCCGTCAATAACACAGGAGTGCGCCGTACCAGTAGTAAGATTGGCAGCAAAATCTCTGCTATTCAGGTGGCGGAGTTCGCATGTGCTCCGAGTGAATTAAATAGACAGGCGGCCCGAGTCTTAATGAGCGAAACACGGCCCACAATAAGTACATCGACAGCGCCACCTTATAAAAACGATATATTCCAGACCGGATATCCTGATGGGCACAGCTGACTGGATCAGCTATCCGATACACACCGTGACATCATCGAGAATCGCACCACGGTAAGTTGAGTCGAGTCGAGGATGCAGGTGCGACAGGAGAAAAATCATCGCGATTCGATATAGTACTGTAAATCTGCACCTGGATATTCTCCGTTCCGGTTGCCGCGCAACCTGCGGCTTGGGGGGAGGGGGGGGCACGAAATCTGCTGCCCGCATGTAGACGGGGATATCCATGTGGACAGCAGCCATGCAGATCGGATTCATCCGTCGCAGAGCACCATCGGTTAGATCCGGAAGGTGGACAATATCCTTCGCGCGGAAGGCTGCACCATCAAACGAGCAGATATCGACGTGCGCACACCGGCTGGCTCGCCCATCTGCGCACATGCCCATATTCCGCAAGTTGAGCACACAGGATGGCGCGCGTCTGGGCGCGGTGGACGGATGATCGTATCACGTATCCTTTATCCTTCGAAGCTGGACGGCCCGGATATCGATATCCAGCAAACGTCGACACGCGGCGTGATGCCTCACCCTGCTCAGGCCGTATGCATCACCTGCTGCAAAGAAACCGTTCAATCCCGCGTTTCGAAAGGCATGAGTTTGCTCACCGGGACGAGCGCGGAGCGTCCATCGAATAGAAAAAGAAAGCTGACGGCGCATGTACACAATCCCAGACCTGCGCACAGACGGGAAACGAGCACGTACCGGCAGGACCACACTGCGTACGGGCGAGGGGAACCACGCAATCTGAGTGGCTGCTCTGTAACAGTTTCGGTCGTCGCTAGCTCCGCGGCTGTGGGGGCCTTGCGGTGGTGCGCTTCCCGCATGGAGGAATCGCTCGCGCTTCGAGATTCAAGCTGCACCCGTGTCGGACGACTCTCCAGCAGCCCGAACCCGACGTGCACTCAGCTGCGACCTTGAACGCGTACCGAAAAGGTGAAGGCGCGATGGGGAAGTAACGATGCGGGTTAAGCGCCGTCGAGCGGAGAGCGGGCTCCGGGCGTATTTCGTCAACTGCGTTTCCCCGTTGCAAGTAGGAGTGAAGAGCGGAAGGTGTACCCTCAGCTCCAGCACCGAAGGGTGCGTCGTCGTCGACGCAGCCGGCGGGCACCGAAACGCGATCGGCGCAGACGCGTAGACACGTGTAAGATCACGCGCGGAGAGCCCCGACGTCGGAGAGTCGAGACGACTTGGATGCCCACGGCCATAAAGTACTGGCCGCGCTGACTCCTTGCACTCCCGCACGATGAAGCACCCGCCAGTCCTCCTCGCCCTCGTCCTCGCCCTCGGTGTGCACGCCCAGAGCGCGTCGAGCGTGTCGCACGTGAGCATGCGCACACCGACGTTCCCGCTCAGCGGCATTCCCCTCAGCAGCGTCTTCCCCAGCGCGACGAGCGTCCCCTCGTCCCCGCCCGAGTCCTCCGCGTGCGCGTCCCCTCGTCTTGCCTCCACCTTGAGCGCTGACGTCCCTCTCCCGCACATCTAGCGCGCCCACCTCGGAGCCCTCCGCTTCGAGCGAACCAGCGACCTCCGCCTCCTCGAGCGCCTCCTCTGCCCCGGGCGCGTCCTCCGCGTCCTCAGTGACGTCCGCCCCGGGCTCCTCCGTTACCTCCGCCCCGAGCGCGTCTGTCATCCGCAGCTCCTCCGCCCCCTCCAGCACCAGCACCAGCGGCGCTCGTCCGCTTGCGCACGCCATGCAGCTCCCGCTCCCCGTCGGCATTGCACTTGGCGCGCTGCTCCTCGTGCAGTGAACCTCGCACTTGGAGACAGGCATGGAAAGACAGCACAGTGGGGACGGAGGTGTGGTGTACTTGTATCGTACGTCGTGAGTTTTCGTCGGATAACCTGTCTGTGTTGTTGTGTATAATACGACTCATCGGTTCGTGCTATAACGATCGCGCTGAGATCACACCTGCGCCGAGCTTCCTGGCGCTTCTGACGCGCCCAGTCGTCTTTCGTGCTGACCCACTGCCGCCCTGGTCCTCTACGCCGTCAGGTACCCCAACCAAGAGTCGGACCGCCCACACGCGCAACCAAAGGCCCGCCGTGTCCTCGCTCCCCTGCCGTGTGAACAAAAGTACTCGCTCGCGCCGAAACATACACGCTAGACTTGCACACACCGCGCGACGTCATCCGTCCCAGTCGCGGCCACAGACGGCGCTACACATGACTGGCCCCCTACCCGCCCCCAGCAATATTAATCTGCACCAAAACCCCGCCAACCACCATATCCACTACTGCAACCACCCGCATCCCCCCCCCCCCCCCCCGAACCGCTCGCGCGCGCCAGACCCCGCAAGTGCGGGCTGCGGTGCCCCGCCGAGGGGCGTGGATGTGCGAGTGCCCGCCGTTGCTCGTGGAGAGGGCCCGGGACTCTACATCGCGACTGCGCCGTGCCAGAGCCCGCCCCGCGCACGCCTCCCGCCGTCGCGCGCGCCACCAACCGGACACGTCGTCCGCACACACCCGCATGGCTACCCGCCCGAGGTCTGTGCGCTCCGCCCACGTACGCGCCGAAGATCCCCGCGGTGTTCCCCCGGCCCCCCTCTGTCTCTCCCGCGGGTGGGGAATACGCACTCGGCGCCAAACTCTCGCCACCTGCTGAACCTCCGCCGCTCGTGCGGGATCCCGCAACACCCGCTCCGCGGTCCACATCCGCAAGCCCGCTACTCGTTTGCCCAGAGAGGTGCGTGCGGGAGACGTCCTGTGGGGCTCTGCTCGCGCCCGGGCTCTTCTCCTCACCGATGCCTAGCGGGCCGTGCGTGCTGCGGCGGGATCGGTCCCCGCTCGTGCTCCCCCCTTCCGCGCCCACATCGTCGGACGGCGTACGTACCCCTCGTGTGCATTCAGTTTTTTTTGCCTACGCGTGCGTGCGGGGGATGGGGGGATGTGACTCCTGGGCGGGCGCGGCTCCCTCCACTCAGCGCGCAAGAGGCTCAGGTACTAGTTACGAGCGGGAGCGTCTGCTCGGATCGCACATTGCTATATCCGCGCCTTTCCCTGGAGATTTCGCGCGGGATCGTCTGCGAGATTTGACCGTGGGCATGGCTGTTCGGCTGCGTACCCCTGGACACGCCGCTCTGCGCTGAGGAGTGGATCCGTGCGTGTGGTGTGCGCGCGTGTGAGAACCGCGGCTGTGCGCTCGCCGTCGGGTTTTGCTCGGGGGACCTCGTGTGTTGCTCCCTTCGAGGTTTCGGAGCGGGGTGGCCCTCTGCGGGGGAGCTGGAGATGTGGTGAGGCGGGCGCTGTCGGCGTGCTCGTGCTCGCCGCCGGGTGTGGCGTTCTGCTGTGGGGTGCGGACACCGTCGTGTGGGGACGCAGCGGGATCGTTCGTGCGACTTTCGTGCGATTGCGAGCGGGTTTGGTTTTGTGGACCGGGTCGAGCTGGGGACGGAATTCAAGATGCGATGTCGTAGAGTTTTCGCGTGGCGCACCTGCAACGCAGCGCGGTGCGTCTCTCTCTGTGTTGTCGACGCGTGCGTGCCTACGTCGATGCGGTGTGTGCGATCGCTTTAGAGCCGGAGATGCGTCTCCGTAGTACTTACCTCCGGTGGTTCACGAGGCAGGGTTCTAAACCAGCGCAGCGTCCTATGTCGAATCTTGACTGCGTGCCATCTCCACGTCCAGTCTCATTCCGAAGCATCTTCTCGAGGTCAGATCGGGCCCATTGAAAATTCCTTGAAACTCTCAAGTTTCAGCGTACTGGTGCTGACTGCGGCCGAGCGACGAGGGTGCTTGTTGTGCACGTCTCTCGCTGGACATGATCGACGGCTATAGTCGGTCACGATCATCGATATTGTCACGGCCCATCGGCGGTCTGCTCGCGGCTTGGACGTGCCGGTGCTCGCAACACCACACCCTCCTCCGCCGTACCCGTATCCTGCTGTATACACTCCCGGAGCTCCCCACAATGGTTAGGACTCTCTTGCCCCCTTGTCGAGCGCGCCGCTTATCTCTCTTTTCCGACATTCCTTCTGCGCCGTTTTATGCTTGATATTTATACATTCGGGACCATAGATCCGCCGCGCGCTTTGCTTCTCCCCGGAGCCTCCACAGTATAGACGTCCGTCGGTCGTGCTCCGCTTCACGGGGCGTGCAGCGAAGATCCCGCTCGAGCTCCTGGGCGGGAGACGAGATGCGTGCGTCTATCGTATTTCGTGCGTTTTGTTTGCGATATCCTTCCGTCAGTGCTGCGCGTTTATGGTACGTCGCGGTGGCCCTAGTTGTGAACACTGGTCGATGGACGAGACACGCTCTCGACGATGCCCGCGCCGAGGAGCTGACCTGGTCGTCCATACGCCTCACCGTTCCACTCCAAACCTGGTAAAGAAATCGCACGGAGGGCGGCACGTACATGACAGGATCCCGCACTCACCGTCGCGGTGATAAAACTGGACGTGCGGATGCGTCGAATACGGAAGCCCGCTTCTGTGCTTCCGTGTCGACCGCTTCTCGATGGCCATTGTGCAGGATATATTGTGCTGTTACCGTGCAGTGCGCTATTGCTCAATGATCCAGGACTCAGAGAGAGCTGGGTGTCAGGCAGATATGGTTTGGCTCGCGACGCAAATATACATCCGCGAACATATCGAGATCAACAGGGGTCGCGGACACAAATGCGCACCGATCGATGATGTGCGATGGCGAAGAGGAACGAGGCATTGTGGGGTGGGTATCGGGTCATCATCATCTTCCTTTTCTTACATATCGAGTTTGTCGAGGCGTGTCATAGCACACATGTCCTAAGCCTCTAAGGCGAAGGCGGATATCATATCGTAAACAGACCATGCCTGCTGAACCCAAATTTCAAATCACGATGCATAAGAAAACATCATATAAAATCCAGAATGCATGCTTGTTCCAAATATACAACATAGTAATATCAGCCGGAACAAGACGAGAATACATTTCAGATGATTATAGTGCTACTCTTTAGGTGTGAAGCCGCCGCGGACCACATCGAGTTTTAAAATGCGGCGGCGGATGAAATCGAGTTTATATTGACTTTCCACCAATTCCTCTGCGATCTCTGTCTGCTCGGCATCTCTGTCCTGTGATATTCGCTGAAGATTGTGCGAGTCCACCGAGGTTGGAGAATTCGTCCGTGAGTAGCACTCAGAATCCACTTTGGCATCGATCTTCTCCACGAGCTCGTCTCGGAAAAGACTGACAATTTTCTGAATAATCGACAGGGGCAACCAAGGTGGGAGAGCGCAAGCAGAGACTGTCGCATGAGTCCCTCTGATCTTGAATTTCGGGGCCTTGGTTTCAGCTCTGATGTGAACCAGCACAGCAGTACAGACAGGGCAGCATCGTTTGGATACACCCAGCTTGTCTTGGCCGTACAGCTATGAACAGAATTAGTTCATCAGGAAAAACCTCCCAGCGCAATTGCGAAGAATTATATGATAATTGTGGATAATTCATGAGAATGAAAAAATTTGGAGTGCATTGTGAGGAAAGTCACTTAATTTCTCAACTTCAATGACATCAGGAAAAACCACCCAGCACAATTGTGAAGAAATGTATGATAATTGTGGATAATTCACAAGAACGAGAAAATTTGAAGTGCATCGTGCACTGAGGAAAGACACTCAATATCTCGACTTCAATGATAATCTGATTTGAAAACCTCATAATTACATGTAAATTGTACGCTAATCAGAAACTCTACTGGGATCTTGGAAAACAGTTCCTCCAGAACACTCTTGAAGAGAGTCATCAGCTGAACCAGTGCTTACCATGATCACACAGCAAAAGCAGAAACAGCACCGGCTCGACACTCAGCAAAGATGGCTGTAAATGCAGCAGCCGGTTCGAAGCGATCCGAATGGTGTATTAGATGTTGCCGATGTGTCCAACTGAGCAGCATGGGTAAGAACGCGAGGCAGGCGAGAATGCGGGACAGCAGATGCAAGGTGTACAAAGACGTGAGGCGAGAGAGGTGGAGGAGGCAAGATGCAAGGGCAAGATGACATGTGGAGGCTGGACAGATGCAGTCAGCGAGGCAGGTAAGGTGGGGAGATGCCAGGCAAGGCAGGAGATATGAGCTGCGAGATAAGTGCGGGATATGGGGTATAGGTGATCAACCAGTGACGATGCAACTTGCAAGGGTGAGTTGAAGTCATCGCCCAGGAATTGCCAAGTCCAACGGCACGTGATGACGTTGATTGGACCAAACAAGAGCAAGCACTGGTTCACTGCAGTGTCCGTCTTCTCTGCTTCATATTCACGTCTTTGTTGACCCGCAACACTTATTCTATGGTACGTGCTTTCTCTGTCACCCCTCACGGATGCATTTAACAAAGCTGATATTGGCACGCAATGCTAGGCATAGTATTGTGTAGTAGCACAAGGGCAACACTCGAGGCGCGTCACTACGTTCTATGTGCCTCGCTGAAAGACTAACTCGGTTACTAGTAAAATGAAAATGCAGGGCATCTATGGATGCTCCGACTCCGGCCCCCCTCAACACATCAAATTTAGTCGGACGCTGGAGTCGACCCGCACCACCCCATAAACCCCCGCAGCGGTTACCACCCCCTTGCGTACAATGACCCCGAGCCGTCATCTGCGCACGAACAATCCACACCAGGAATATATGACCTCGAAGCCGTTGACTATGACTACGCACACCCGCCCCCTGGCTCCCCTCCTGGTCCATCAGATCGTGCACTGCCAAATGAGTACGGCAATTCCAATGATCTCGTCTCTGCCGGTACAGATGATGCACGGAGAAGGGGCAGCTGGCTCAGGAGGTCCGCGGCTGCGATTTTGCCGAGCTATTATGTCGAGAGGTTCGAGCTTTCCCCGCATGCGCCCGCTGGTACGATCGGAGGGGGCACCTCCAACGACCGTGTCTTTGTGAACGTGACTGCGAAACCCTCACGGCCTCTTAGGATACGGGATGGTATGCTGGCGATTTTTCTCCCTTATTTGCCCAGGCGGTATGCAAGTGCCCTTTCGATGACTAACATATCTCTTTAAGTATTATACTTTGTACTGTCTAATAACATGCTCATTTTCCTACTGTATTATTGAGTAAATGAGGCCTGATTCGTTGTCACAACATGTATAATAGCAAGAATTGAAGAGAAAACCCTGTAACAAATGTGTGTAATGTTAAGAAATGTTGAGAATTAATAAGTGAAATCGGCAGGGGCCGTCTATTTCATGTAATTCTCAACAATCTTGATAATCGCTGGAACACGTAGAATCTCGACTATTCTTGACAATTAACATATAATTTTGACCAATTTGCGCGGGAGGTTTTCCCTGATGTTCCATGCCTCTCTCAAGCAATATGTCAACGTACATCACAATCAGAGTCACTCTTCAAAATGGCTGCCATAAAGGCTTCCGCATGTAGTGTCCCAGAGAAGGTTGTCCCAACTCTCCGCGTGATTGATGGATGCCTCTCGAAGTAACGGCTAACATATTGCTTTAGCGGACTATCCTTGTACAGCTTGTCGATGAGATCGTCCATCGACAACATTTCTTGACCTTGATGCTCCGCAGTTAGCACATTAACTTCGTATGGTTTTCCAGTGCCCTTCCACGGGGACTTGGATGCAAACCCTTGTAGTATTCGGATGGATTCGGGGAAGGACGCTTGCAAGCGAAACCATCTCTCAAAGGCCATCTTCAGATCAACGCGGTCAACCAATGGTGTTATGCTAGACATCACGGCTCCCAAATCCGATTCACGTTCATCATCGCCTTCATCGAGAGCGTCACTCTCGCTAGCCATGGTCATGCGATCAGCATTGACATTGTGCTGCGCCTCGTCTTCCTTGTATATGGCCATTGGGGGGAAAGTACCATCCTCGACGCACGCTTTGCCGTTGTCTCTGACAACATCGCCCGCACTGGGAAGACCATCCTTTCCATCGGAACTGAGCTCGGGCACTGGGATCTTTGCCTCTGCATGGCCGTCTGACACTACTGAACCATCGAGCCAGTTGCTCGTAGATAACTCGTGGTACAATTCTTCATCGCTCGACTTGTCGAAGACAGAAGGTTTTTTGGCTTTCTCCTCCACACGCGCTTTGGCATCAGCTTCCCTAGATGCTTTCATCTCGGCATTATAGGATGAGTGAGCTCGGCTCTGACATGCATTCCGTTCTTCTTCAAATGGTTTCATCAGCCCTTCAGCAATGTTGCTAAGATGGAGAGAGAGTGCCGAGGAGTAAGTGAAAGCGTGAATAGTATTAGCAGCCATCCGCAGGACACATGCAGCATCCTCCATATTCTGAAGCGCCTGTGCTTTGCTCGTTATCACTGGCACCCCTCTCTCACTGAGCCCCTGAAGGTCCTGCTTGGTCAATGCACAACAATCTTGTGAGCCTGCATTTTGACAGGTGCCCTTCCACTCCAACACCCGCCACCACGTATCTCGGGACAGTACCACGGCATCTCTGTAAAGGAGGACACAATGGCATAGTGTCATATGAAACTCAAGACAGGTTTCCCTGGTATAAAGCGCCTTTGTCCCGGTAGCACCCTTTGCAGTGTTACTGGTACACACAGCCAGCAACTTCGACTCTGAGGGACATTCTCCCAGCTCCAGAATAGCCTTCAAATAGACCGCGAGGTCATCATCGGTCCCTCTCTTTGGTTTGCTGGTCGGGAACGTAAATGAGTCCAGCTTCTTCTCCACAAAATGTTCAACAGCTGGGTTCTTGAGAGCCTTCCAGAATGGGCAGGACAGGGTGAAAAACATCCTGCGGTACATTTTCATCGCGGACCTTACATAGACGTACTTTGTCCACATCTGGGAAGAATTGGACTTCTCCTTCTTATCCCGAGCCATTGCATAGTTGCTAAGGAAGCTCGTTATGATCGATGCGTGCTCCTCGAATAGCTGAGTAAGGCTGGATGAAAGCAAGTGAGCAAAACTATTGTGATTCAGGACATTGAATGCTTACGCATTGTCCACTACAGCCTTCACCGGGTTCTCCTTGACCTCTTCAAAAAGTTGCTCAGTCCTCTCTTGTGACAAGTGGATGAGCCAAGCTCCATGTAGGAGAGAGCTAGGCATTGCCCTCCTTTTGTCTTTGCCTGTCTGTGCATCGGCATCAGCAGTCGGCGCTATGACTTGCATTGTCCTGCCATGCCCGATAGTGATGGTGGTGGGCAGTGAGGCCATCTGATCTTGCGACACCACCACAACAGGATAAGTATCCCTTTTGAAGGTGATCGCGACATTCTCGTGCTCTCGCACAAGTAAGCTTGCAAATGCATCCAATCGCCGCAAATCGGAGTCATCATCTGCTTTTGTCATATGGCGGAAGGAGCCCCTCATGCCACCAGGCTGCTTAGCAGGATCGAGGGCACCTGCTATTTCAGGGCTCCCCAACTTCTTCAGTACCTCAGGACATGAGGGC